AAATAGACAAACAATTACTATATAATAGATCCACTAAATCATAATAATTAAGACTAAATCATTGATCACTAGTCAGTCATTTGTGACATTGTTTTGACAACAAAAAACACAAACATTTCTACAAAACCTAACTATTGAAGCATTTTTTGAGACATACATCTACTGTGATAATGATATGATTTCTTTGAATTGTTTGTCGGAATATGTTTTATTTAGTTAACAAAAATAGGTTTGATTTTTATCTTTTATACCAAGTAATCTTAACATCAATTTTGACCATATTTTGTCTCATTAATTGTATATTAAAAGCTGTTCATCCGTTTTTTACCTAAACCATAGGTATTTGTTTTGTAAACCAAGTCTTCAATCATTGTATACGAAATGCCTTTTTTATAAATTCATATTTAATTTAATTTATAGTTTTCCACTTAATATGCATTTATAACGTATTGTAAAATAAGTTTATATTATAAAATGAGTAAAATTATGATATATTCTATTAAATAAAATAAGGTTTAAACCAAATTGTATGTTTTATCAGTTTAATACAATGTTTAAAACAAATATCCAGCAATAACATTACTTTGTTTTACCGGTACTGTATATCAATCCACCAGATCTCTCATATAATGAGCCATTTATAAACTAAATCATTAAAAGTGTTGATTTGAGTAATTGAGTCTAAATTACAGATCATGTATTGAATCTAAAAATGACACTCCTGGTACAACCTTTGACATAGACTCGTGACCATACTTTCGCAAAACAATAATTATGAAATTGCTTTTATAAATCTATACTAATCGAGAATATAGATCTTACTGATAAATAGAGGATTAGAAATTGAATGATAAGACTTGAATTCATCAGATATCAATATACTGTATCGGTATAAGGATTACCAGTTTGTTGCAAAGTTTATAAAACTGAGAAAAATTATAAAAAGTTTTCATTTGAAGATAATTTTTAAATAATTAAAAATACCTGTAATTGTCTATTTGACTTTTAATTGTAAATTAGTTATAGAAATGGAAGTTTTAATCTTTATTTCCATTGCACTTCAATTGGTTTTGTCTGAAAAGTCTTCATATTCATCAGGTATTCAATTTAATTATAATTTGTAATATAAGCTAAATTTTAATTTAAAACTCATTTCCAATCAGAACCGAATGAGAAATTGTATAAACCTCCCGAAAATAAAGGGCAAAATATGAAGAATTATGTCATTAATTATTTGTTTGAAAGCAAAATCACACAAAAGTCAGAGTTAAATGTTAAAGAAGTTGACGATTCTGTGAATATAAGTGACTACAAAGATGTGAACAATATTATGCAAACCATTAAGTGAGTCTCTCAACGAAATAATATTTATTGTGTTTTGTTTCTAATTATAAGTTTATGACTAATTTCAGAGACGACACTGTCATTGAAGACAAACATAAAGTGACAACAAATATGAGCGAAGATGTGTCAAAACTGATCGGACAAATCAATCCATCCATTGGTAGTGTAATGGAAGGCATTACCAATCCTAACAGTCCTTTAAGTGGAGGAGAGATGACAACAATGAGCAAAGAAATTGAAAAGTTTCGACAATGTCTTCATATGGTGTCGGTATTTGTGCCCAACAGTACTGTCCAGTCGGCCGACACTTGTTTTATAATGTATTTGTGGTCCACCAAAAGGGATCCAACAAAGCATTTAGTTGAGATCACACCTTAAGAATTTGTGATTAGCTTATAATTAATTCTTGTAATTTACTTATCTATCATTTGCTATTTTATTCAAATTTATTAGTTTTCAAATAATCTGACCTCATTTTTAACTGTATTGAACCCGCATATCATGCAATCCATAAGCTATTAAAATGGTTTAATAAAAATTTATGTAATAAATAAACGACTTAAATTGCATAAACAATACTGTATAATTATTAAATGAATCATTAAAATGTGTTTCAAATTAATTGTCCAGTTTGTTATATTTGCAATAATTGTTCATATGTCCGCACAATTACCTAATTCTCTATGTTATGACTCCTTATGCACTCGAGTTCCGTATGTCTCAAAAGTTTGTTGCCATAAAATACTAGAATGTTGTGAACAATACGAGCAATGGTATGTTATTTTCGTGTTTACCCTGATAAATTAATATGTTTCAGATATTTGGAAATTTTTATATAAAATTCTTTAATTCTATATAAAGGATCTATGCTTTTGTCGAAATGAAAGAAGCGGAGTATTTGTCAAAAATCAAACAAACTTATGATGATTATCAAGACTAACAATTATTGCGAAATGATTGTCTAGTTCAATTATAATAATGTAAACTTAATTAATTATTATATTTTATTTATGTTGTATTTATCATTCAAAATTATGTGTTTTATAAAAACTCTTATCAGTATTTTAAAAATACACTTCAATTTTAAATATATTTAAATTTAATTTAATATATATAATTATATCCTTAAAATTGTCATTAAAGGTATATTTGATTATGAATTACAAGAATTTATTCAAATAACAAATAATTTATTAAAACTGTGGGCAAATTGAGGTGCGAGAGAATGTTTGGCAAATTAGTCTCAAATCTGTTTCTCAAACCAATTCTTATCATCTCTTTTAAACTATAAACGTGTGATCTTTTAGCTGTAATCCAATCGCAAAACATCTTAAACTCTATTTTATTTACATTTTTATCTTCATTTAACTGACTATTTGGATAGCATTTCATCTGAAAATTATTTGGGAATTTAATTCCACACAAATATAACAATTTCAATGACTCTAAATCATTGTAATTAAAACGATAATAATTAAAAACTGAATATTCAAAAGGAGTTATCATTTGTATGAGTCTTTTGGAAGCATAGGAACAGTTGAAAAGTAAAGCATATGTCAGAAGATTGCCATTAATTATCTTATTATTAGCCGGCATTTCATACTTAAAAGCAAAAGTCTGTTTGAAATGAATTAAATGTCTAAAAGTTAGCAAATAATCGAAACAATATTTGGCTTCTTCTATATTCTGGTGACTGTTTGGCAAAAATGTTTTCAATAAAACCAATGAATTGTCAAATAACTTATCATTTGCTTTGAAACCCATTTCAATGGCCAGTTTCATGGCTTTTAAATTAAAATACTCTAGACACAAATTAACGGGCGATATATTAGTGTGGATTTGCTGATCACATAACCTCTTATGAAATAATTTAAGCAAATATTCAACTATTTGTAAATTATTTTGTTTGAGTGAATACTTGAGTTCTTTCATATCTAGTAAATCAAGTTGAGACCCACTGTTCACCAGAATTTCAATGACTGGCAAACAATTTAATTCAATGGCTTTGGTGAGAGGTGTGGACCCATTGACAGTTATTACATTGACATCGGCTCCAAATGATATTAAAGTCTTGACAATTGAGACGTCTTTGGACATAGAGGTCCACTCTATGGCTGCAAACAGTGGTGTCAGACCTTTAGTGGTCTTTTCGTTGACATTCGCGCCGTTTTGGCACAGAATTGAAGCGATTGTTTGGTTCCCATTAACGGCTGATAAATATAACGGAGTCTTGAGTTCAGGACTGTATTTGATGTTAACATCACATCCGGCGTTAATCAACAGATGGACCACTTCTGTGACGTTATTGTGAACGGCATGATAGAGGACGGGCGGCATTTTGCGCTGACCTACACCGCCGTTAAAGTCATGACCCGTTGAGATCAATGTCTTTATTAGATTAATATCTCTGCGATCAATGGCACGAAGACATCGCAATTCATTCATTACTAAAATTCTCAATATATTAAGGTCTCAAATAGCACAGCATTTATTGAATATATAGTTACAATACTGAAACTTATAGTTTTTACAAAAGTAAATAAAAGTTATTAAAATGTAAAGACAAATTGATTTAAAAAATTAATTTTATTCAAATAATAGTAATTGTATTGACAATAAATATGTTGTTCCCATTTAATGTTCACAGAATCTACAGACAAATAAATATAAGATATGCAGATATTTTAAGAAGTGTTGGATACTTTCCAATATTCATATAAATGGGATCACCAGAGAGTGTGTCACATAATCATGATAATTGTTTTAAACAAACTATTATATAACCTAAAGATTTAAATAAACTATTTTGTTTTCCTTCCAAAGAAACAATTACATATTTTTACAAATAATTAATTGTTATCTTAATTTTAATTGGAATTACATGTTAAATAAATTATTTAATTAGCAATTTTATAATTTTATTAGATAATGTGATTATTACTTTAATATGGTTTGGTATCATTGAGAGCTAACATCTGTTAACTAATAATGTATTGATGATGAATATTATTTCATTACTAATAAGAAAATAATAGCAAAGAATTACAGTAGATATAGATATAGATTAATATTAATAATAAAAATATTTTCATCATTTTGAATTTATTGGAAAATTTTATTCCTATTTTGAAAATAGCTTAACATAGCTTTATTATTTATAATAAATTAGATTTGATCAGGATTAATAATTATCAATAAGTCAATTAAGTCAATAATATTTTATTTATCTACCCTGATACCGGTCATAGAATTCTAAACTTAAAACAACATTTAATAAAACCTTAACTTTGATATTAATATTACCTAGAATTGTTTTGAACTCTAAAATCATAAATTTTGATAAACAAAGTCACGTTTATAGAAATTTTTTATTTAAATTTTATACTTACAAGTTAATAATCTAAAGATTAAATAATTATCACTTACAAAGTAAGTAAGAAACATGTGTTAGTATTGTAACTTTGTAATACAAAGTTTGTACAGTATACTGTATGATACTGTGAATATCCAATGATTATCTTTTGACATCTCAATAGTCGATTCATTTTTAGATAAAAACTTCTATAAAACTAAGGAATATTTTATTAAATAATTCATTTAGCTGTTAGACATCACTTTAAATAGTTAGACATTATTTTTAAGTTCTGTTCGCAATTGTAATACAATATTAAACAAAATCATGAAATTATTGACTATTTTAATAGCACTTCCATTGGTATTGTCTGAGAAGTCCTCACAAGCGGATGGTAATCAAATCACATTCAAATTTAATTTGTATTTTAATAATTTATATATTTTCACAATATGACCAGACTCATTGGACATGGATCTGATAAAAATCCAAAGCATTGACAATGAAATGAATGATTTGTTTATCAAATATCTTCCGAAATACAAATTTCATGGAAAGGCAGGAAATGGTTTAACCAAAGCCTACGAGACTGTGACCCAAGTCTATCAGAATTTCGACACATTTTCGGACAATACTAAGTGAGAGTCAATAATATTGAAATTTATTAATCAATTAATTGTTTTAAAAATAATATTTCAAACCTCAGGATAAACCCAACCACTGAAGATAACAGACGACCCCTTGATTTCAAAGACTTCTCGACCGTTAAGTTCTCTCAAGTGTTTCCAAAAGTCTTCAAAAGTATTGGTAAAGTGATGAATGAGATATCGACGGATCCGATGAGTCCTATAAATGAGGAGGAATTGAAGAAAATTGACGAAAAGGTGGAGACATTCCGGAAGTGTCGACAATCGGTGACATCGACTAACACTAAGGGCCCAAATGCCGATCAATTGCCTGATATATGCTTTGCTGTCACTCTCTTTGTTCATAAAACCGATGAAATCACTGATTATTTTGGGCGTAAAATGCGAGAGACTTTGACTCAAGAATTTCAATCAAAACAACAATTTTAATCATTTTCTCAATTTATTTGATTTGCGTTTAATTTGTATTATTTATTGTATGTTTTTAATATTTGACTACTTTTTATAACTTTTTATAACTTTTTATAGACTACATTATACTAGTATTGATTGTATTCTCATTATCTTTTTTCTGTCATTTGTTTAGTTATTATGTTATTCTCGTAATTGATCTCAAGTTTAAGTAAAACGGATTATAATTAATTTATTGCATAATTTTATTCAATTAAAAGTATTATAGCATTGAATTGTAAAATTTTATCATTATTTTTACTAGGAATTCACTAATTATAAAATATACACAATCTCGAGATTATTATTCTTGTGTCCAAAAGTATGTCTCAAATCTACAGAAAAGACTCATTTGACAGATTTGGTGACGATTTGTGTGAACTATTGCTGTCTTACGAGACATTCACCGATCGATTCCGTCACCAAACAGTGTCTCAACAGTTCCAACGATTGATTAATACCACTGTTAGAGACATTACTATTGATAGACATCTGATGTATAGGATGTATGTCGGGAACCAATCGGGCGATGAAGACTTGGTTTATCTATTATTATGAGTAAATTTGCAAACATTGAGCGCATCCACTACTTCAATCATGTCAATACTATTTATGGTAATCGAAGTAATAGACAAGTATTGGAAGCCATCCATCAGTTTAGAGCCTATTGTCCCAAATTGAAGGAACTGTACGTCAGAATACAACCAACTGATGGCAATCATTTCAAATGCCAATCATTGATTCTTAGGGCTATGCATACAATTTGCAAAACTATTTCTACATTTGTATGTTTGGAAAACCCATGAAAAAGATCTCCCCACAAACCAAACAATATCTCACTTATTGTCCAAATCTATTGCATCTCATTGTCCAAAAATTAGACGATGTCTTTGGTTCGAAAAAACAATTATTGGTCAAGAATTTACAGACAATTGAATTTACTTTCGGTTATGAATTCAATGCCGCAATGTTTGAGACATTCATTGCCGCCAATCAGTCACTCAAACGGCTTATTATGGGACGTATTATTCCGTTTCCTGAATCTCAAGACACTCTCAAGCGTTTCACTCATTTTAAACAATTAATTGAATTGAGTGTCACTTTCGATGAAGTGATTGAATTGAATGAACAAATTGCCAAAAATTTATTGTACGACTCGTTCAGAGAAATCGGTATAAAGTGTGTGTCACTCAAGAAGTTGTCGATGAGATTATGGCTTCAATACAACATTTCCAACGATTAAAACGCTTGCATTTAAGTCTCTCTATGAGTGATAAGAGCATAGACTTCAGTCATTGGAATTCATTTGATTTGATGAGTCGATGGCCACGAAGTATATCTCATTTGACACTAGAATGGAGTCAAATGTATAACGAATTCTTTGCCAGAATCCACACAATCCTACCGGCGCTCCAGTTTGTGGAGATTACAAACCATTTTGATCAGGAAATACCCATTTGTTTGAAACCATTCACAAGACTACCACTCCTTCACACACTTATCTTGTTTTGTATTCCTGATGACACTATTTCTGCCGATTTCGAGATTATTATATTTTTCAAAGTAAATTCTTTTATTACTAATTTCCTATAACTTTCTTTTTTTATTTTGTATATTTATATTAATACTGTAGTCATAAATAAATAAAACTAATATTTAAAATGTATTTCTTTATAATTGAATCCATTAGTTCAATTACTCTTTAAATATATGTAATTCTTGTCATATTTATAAGTACTTTATATTTCTTTTGAACTCATTGCAGCAGTTTTCATATAATTTAATGTTAGTATAAGTAAATTTATAAGTGTTAGTAGTTTTCATATAAGTATTTTTTCTATTTTCAAATATGAAGTATCATTCAAATTGAAGTGTATGTCTATAAGATGATAGAGTAAATGTAGTGAAAAGTTAATCATTTCTGCATTATTTGTATTTTTGAAGGTATTTCCGGGTTCTCAATAAATTTAATCCTAATTGACATCATTTGATTGAAAAGTGTATACATCCTAAATCATCAGGATATCAAGCAGTAAAATATTTTGACTATAATGGTTAATGACTACCTATAAATTAAAATAAAATACTTGTGTGAGTAAAATAATAATAATGACAACAATTTCAAAGTATTTCTTACTTATTTTCATAATGAGTGTAATTATAAGTGAAATTAATCTTTTTAATTGTATTAAATTAACACAAAATATAAATGTGGATAAAATAGAGACTGTTTTAGACATAAGTAAAACAGAATTGAGTAGAATTTTGGGCAAAAATAAGATCATTACTAACAGGAGACTAATGGGAAGGAAAGTCAACTTTAAAGATATCCATGAAATCAATGCTAACGAGACGTAAGTTTTCAAAAGTTGTTGTCTTAAACTTGATAAACAAATTCATTTCTGTCTTTATAAGCGAAACAAAACATTATTCATCAGCGGATTTGTCGAAGAATTTCCAAACCCATAGAATTGTTATCAATTTCACTGAAAGTTCAATGAAGTTATACAACAACGAGACTAACATAGCGTTCAAAGTGGACAAAACATCTGAAACATTGAATTCTACGCTCAATACATGCGAACATTCGTTACGATTGAATCATACCTTTCATCACAAATCAAACAATACTAAAGACATTTGTTCAGCAATTTATTCATTTTATTGCGATATTCATGATTGCGTCCAAAAGGCTGTTCAAAAGCCTATCATTTAATACATTATTCTTATACTTTATTTTCTTTAATTCATTCATCATTTTTGTATTTGAAAACATTCCTACATTTATGTCATTTTAAACAGAATTTATAAAAATAATAAAATAAAAGTTATTGTCTTAAATGTGTTGAACTAAACCATATCATCCTGGATCATTTGAGAGCCATATTCAGCGATCATAACGGCTGCGGGCAAGTGGTTGGAGTTGACTCCTTGAGGCATAATAGACGCGTCCACTACACGAAGTCTCTTCACATTTATCACTCGCAGTCTTTCGTCGACCACTGCTTTGCTATCAGCGGCTGATCCGCACCTACAGGTCCCAACTTATTGACAAATTGACAAACTTATCAAGTCAATAATTCTACTATAATAGTCTACTATAAATGCAAACCATGTCTATAGACTGCTTGTGCCGTTTGCCTCACAAGACATCTGAGATACTCGTCGCACTCGTCATCGTTACCACATTTACGACATCCCGGGACTGTTGTCGTTATTCTTCGGGTTTGAGCCGCAAATGGACCCACAGTTGAGATGCGAGTTATCATATTTCTGATGCCATGAACCGTGGAGTCCATGTCGTACGGATCGCCTAAATAGTTTGGGTCAACAATTGGGTCTACATTTGGATCTCTGGATGCGAGTCTAACTGTGCCACGAGCTCGAGGTCTTACCATCTGATTATACATTAATAAAAGTCTTCGACCTATAAATGAT